TTTCCATCCTTCTTGGGTATTGGTACAATGTTAGCTATCCAGGGTGGATAATCTACCACTGCTAGGAACCCTGCGTCAAATTGTTTGAGAACCTCTTCTCTGATTTTGCTGGACCTATCTGGACGGGTTCTTCTGAGTTTTTGCTTGACTGGAGAACAACCTTTTTTGAGAGGTAATCTATGCACCACGATGTCTGTATCTAACCCTAGCATGTCCCTGTAGGACCAAGCGAATATATCCACATACTCGTGTAATAACTTGATTAGCCTGTCTTTGACGCTCTGATCCAACATTTCCCCTAGCTTGATTTCTTTTGGATATCCTTTTGTACCCAGGTTAATGGTCTCAATAGGATCTTGATATGGTTGTATGATGTTAGCCTTTCTCTCTATTTCCCTCGACATTTCCTCGGAGAGTTCAAGATCTTCGTAATCTTCCTCTTCGGCTTGGTGGATAGGAACATCAAAATCGTATCAGGTCGTAGCAGTAGCGTTATCGGTAATTTTGGGCATGGATCTGCACATTTATCATGTTTTGGTGCATATTTTAGTGCTTGGAATTTGAAAATGTTTATGCAAAGAAAGTATTGCCATTTTTATATTTAATAGATAAATGCAAAAGAATGACAAGGATCTTAATTGAAAACAGAATATAACTTTTATTAATTATAAATATTGTCTAAAATAAGAACAAGGAAAACCCTTACAAGCAACCCCTATGCCTCGGGTTTGACATAGGTTCTTTAAAAACAAGAAATATTACTTAGAAAAGAAAAATATCTCAGGAATCTCCATAGCAGTCCATCCTTTAATCTCTCCTTCCAGGGAGCCCTCTCTAATGAAGTCGGTTGCCCTTTTGGTATTGATTTTTCTTGATGTCATTGCCACGTTCCCGCCATGCTCTGTTCCTTTGCTGACGAAAGTCTCTCGGATCGGAGGAAAACATGTTCTGCCTTTCAGAGTATTCCCCAGGGTTTTGAGAGCTTCACCATAACCCAAACCAAAGCGATTCTTCTTCTCATGAATTTCTGGGAGCTTTCCCTAGTATTTTGAGGCATCACCTCCTATAGTCTTTTGCAGATCTCTCCATGATGTTACTTTAGTCTGGTTGCCCTTCTCGACTGGTAATGTTATCATCGAAGCAATTTCCAAGGCTTGGAACGGGGTAGCTATGCAGTCTTCGTCGGCACTAATATACATGTATGACTCAATGTGGCTCACGAAGATGTCTTCCTCTCCATCAATTATGATCAATTTCCCTTCCACTAGGAACTTCAGCTTTTAATGTAGTGTCGAGGTTACTGCCCCTGCCCCATGGATCCAAGGTCTCCCCAGTAAACAAGTGTATGCTGGTTCGATGTCCATGACCTCAAAAGTGATATTGAAGATATGCGGCCCGATCTTGACTAGAAGGTCCACCTCTCCTAACATCGAGCTTCAGGAACCGTCAAATGCCTTTACTATCGTAGAACTTTGTATCATTGTCATATCGTCTATTGTTAACTTTACGAGACTTGACTTTGGCAACACATTAAGAGCAGAACCGGTGTCAGTAAGAACCCTGGACAAATGTGTAGTTCCGATCTGCATAGTAATGTGGAGTGCTTTGTTATGGGCCCGGCCCTGCGGTGGTAATTCACTATTGCTGAAACCCAGGTAGGATCCGGACGTGAGATTTGCTACGACATTGTCAAATTGATTCACCAAAATTTCTTTTGTGACATGGGCTGAACTTAACACTTTCATCAAGGAATCCCTGTGCGACAGAGTTGATGAGTAGCGAGAGTATGGAGATTATTGTTGGAGTTTGATGGAGCTGATCCACCACTCTATAGTCACTCTTTTTGATTATTTTCATAAACTCCTCTGCCTCCTGATCAGTAAAGTCTTTGTTCGGAGATTCTGTTTCCTGATTTGTATCACCACTGCTTTTCCTTTGTCCTTCGTTGGAATCAAATCTGTCTTTTTTGATGGTTCGGCTCCATAGATTCGACCACTTCGGGTCATACCTCTTGTTCCTGCTATGTTTGAGATTGCAGGTCCTTGACTTGTCGATGGCCCGCTTTCCTGCTTCACTCGATTGATGTATACGGCTGAGTCATAACTCCAAGGTACCGCTTTATTATTCTCGTAAGGGATAGGTGATGGTCCCTTAATTACCATCGTGGCTTTTGGAATGGTAGGTATTAAGAGGGTCTTCTTAGGTACCCTTCTGGTGATCTCTGCTGATTCTCCCCATGGAATGACTAGAGTCTTCTTGGTAAGGCTTGGACACTGGCAAGGGATTACCAGTGGCTTTTTCCCTCCAATCGTGGCTACACATTTTTCTTCAGGGTACAACCAAATTGGACTATCCCCTGATCCACCAGATTTTCCAAAGTTGTTTCAAAATCTTTATTGTGCTCTAACAAGAATCCACATTCGAACAAATATTCCTTCAACAAGTTGATAGGGTTTTTTTCCTTTATGGTTTCCCCAAAGTCGGTGACCACCTCGATTGAATTTATTGTTGGTCCACCATGCGGAGGCATAGAGTTTGATTTGATATTAGGCTTATCGAAGGTGATGTTATACCCCAAAATTTGCCCTCCTAATTTCTTTTATTTGGCTTAGACTTTTACATTCAGTTGCATATATTCCATTAGGTCACTAACGTAGCATGCATTACATTCAAAAGAGCATCTGAGGTTCAAAAGATTAACAGCTACGAATCTAGGGTTTATGACTGATTTGAAGTGTATATGATTGAATAAGGTTGATTATTATGTTTCTTCTTGGTGTACAAGACAGTGTAATTATGGTTTTGGTTCATGCTCATTTTTAGACTTCTTCTCCCTCAAGCAACAAGGTTATTATCTTCTGATGAACAACTGGTTGTAGGTTTTTGTCAAGAATTCAAGGGCGGGACCTAGCATACATAGTATTTGAATCAAGACGTATCTTCATATAAGTGTGCTTATCATTTGATCAAGATTAATGACTATGACATGGCACTCATCCACTCGTCAATTAACCAATTCTGGTTTTGTTGAAACATGGTCCGAAGATATTTCATCTGGATATTTCTCTGTGCATCTGAATTGAGGAATCAAGGCTGTGAGGTATGGCTTTTATGTTAAGTTGCTTCTTCATGCAATGTATACTTCAGGAAGGTTAGGGTTTATATCCTATTATAGTTAGGTTACTCAACATTTTCATTGGGTATTTCAATGGATAGTGAGACATGATATAAGGAGGGTGTTGCGAATTCATTATGATCAAGGGCTTTATCGTTCTCAATTGTTTGATCGCTTGTATTGCAAGTTAGCTTGGAGGTGGGAATTGAAATTAAAGTCTTCTTCAAGACATGGTACTGTGTGAGATCATTGGTTACCGAGTCAAAGGCTTATAGATTTAATTTCAAAATATTAAATCATGATTCAAAGAATAATTTTATGGGTTCATTGTTATACTTGTTGCTCACAAGGCAAAATGGTACCAATTGATTGTTTTTGTTAATTGAAGACTGGTTTAGAATTGTTCATCCAAGTTTCATTTGTGTTCCAAGTTAAGATTTGAAGGAAATTCATTTTGGAATACAAGTCGCAGGTTGCAAAAACACCATGGTTCATTTAAGTTCACCTTTGATTCAAAGTTTATTACAATTTGAAAGTCGATCCCAAGGGATTGTCTCATTACATTCACCAAGGCACATTGAAAAATGGAAACATGCCTTAACCTTATGTTGCTTCCGGCTATTGAGATGCATAAGGAGCAGATATTTTTAAGATAAAATTACAATTTAAAAATCCAAATAACATTCTTCATACAATTTTCGATGTTCATTCAAAATTCAAGTTTGAACCAAACCCCCGTAAACCTCTTTATGCTAAAAGCTTTTTGATCCAAAACATGAACATAAACTCTTGATTCAAATAGAATTGCTAACAATAATCATCCTTGCACACAATTGGAAATTCAATTCAGAAATTAGCATCACAAAACCAATCCAAACTGCTAACTGATAAGAATATCTCAGAAATTTAAAGCAATTCAAAACCAGTTCAAAAACCAGTTTATATCAAAATAGTTCACCAAATAAACTTGACACCCTATTCAGTTTAATGCATAACCACAACCCTGCATCAGAAAATCAGAAAAATGCTTTCAAACCAAAACAAAGTGCAGAGAAAATCTTCTAACAGAATCTCAACAAACTGCTAATAGAATTGTCAAACCAGGAAAATTTACTAACATTTTCTCACAATCTATAATAGAAACTAACCTTTTAACAGCCAGCAGAGATAAATTTCAACCTCCCAACTTCATTCACCCAAAACCTGTAACTATCTGTTAATAGTTTCTAACTAACCAATTCATATAACAAACTCCCAAAAAATTCTTCTACTCCCTTTAACTTCCCAATTGTCCAACAGAATTAACAAAACTTTTTCTAACCATTTTTTCAAACAGAATATAACAGAATTCAGGAACCTGTAACTTCCTAACTGTTTCATAATAGTTTCAAAACAGAATTTCCAAAAACAGAATTCATCCAACTGAAAAATCTAGCTCACTTATGATTGTCCTATAACTGATCTAATAGAAAAGGGCTTCTAACATAAGAAAATAGCTTCTAATATAAGAATTCAGATACTAGAAGAAAGGGAGAAAAGAAGATTTGGAGATTCATTATTCATTCAGTTAGAGGAGCTTACCAGAAAAGATCAGAGAAGTATCTTTCGGCTCTCTTCTTCATCAATCTTCCTTCTCTCTCTCGTTCTTGAATCACCTACTGTAACCTTGCAATATTCACTCCCAATCACCATCTCGTCTTCTTCTCCCTGCATCTTGAAACCTTCATCTTCCCCGCTCTTAAACTACCACATAAACCACCTTCAGTCCCTTTCTCTCTACCACCTTATACCTCCACTTTTTGGTTCCAAGTCTCAACCTCGCTCTCCATTCATCACCATCGAATTCGCCTCTAAGCTCTCAACAACAACAATTCACACAGAGAAATCAAAAGGAAGAAATTGGAAAGAAGGAAGATCGAGAGCAAAATCGAAGTAGAAGAGAAGGAGAATCGGAACCGAGAAGTGTACCTGAATTTTCTCGGGATTTCTTATCATCTTCATCACTTTGAAGAAGCACCAGACTGTCTCTGTTCGGTAACTTTCTTCGTTCTTTTTCTCCTCTAGCTTTTATATGCATCGCTATTCGCTTGAGATGTGAGGTAGATAGCATGAGTTCTCGAACCGATTTTCGACTGATGAGAGAACTGAAACAACGGTGAATCGAAGCTAACAAAGTGAGATCAGGGAAGGAAAAGAGGACGGTGGTGAATTGGTGATTTGGATCGGAGAACAAGGATAAGCCTCCATCTGTGCCGATTGAAAATGAAAGAGGGAAGAAGATCGAATTCGCCATGTGAAGTTGAACCGTCATTTTGTTAACCTAGCTCAAAATGAGCGTCCTCCTCTCTCCATTAAAAAAAAATTCATGGATAATCATCAGAAAGATACAAAAATCTGAAAGAAGATGGGATGAAATTGGATTAGGATAGTGTTTATTGGGTCGAATTGATTGTAGTCACCCAAGCCCATAGTGAAAGATTTTTGGAATCTCATGAAACTGAACAAAAATGGCTAATGGGTTCATTCGGATCGTGCTTGATATCAATCCAGTCACTTGCAGTCACCCCTTGCTTAGTCCATTACACCATTTTTGGAGCCTCAGACGATTTAACAAAAAACACAGCTTGTGGACCGAAGTTGTAGCCTTCTAAGCCAATCAGGATTTTCTTGTAAAGTCTAGTGTTTGTTACAACAAAAAACTCTTCTTGGATTCAGTCCGTATGGGCCCAAGCGCCTTGCTTCACCAAACAAAAAAAATAGCATTATGGCTGTTATTACTGGGCCTAGTATCAGATTTCTACTGCACCTCCTGCTTGTTGGATTGCACCCCCTGGGTTTATTCTTTTAGTAATTTCTTTTAACTAATTTTGTTAATTTTCTAGACTTGTTTGAATTTTCTTTACATGATAAAAATAATAAATTCAAATATAAAAATTTGTTAGTTTTTTATTTGAGATTTTAGGAATTTAATCCCGATTATGCGATGATATTTCAGATTGGTAATTCACTTTTTCTTGTTGATATTTGAGTCTTGTACATGTTTATTATGCGATATGCGAATGCGCTTGAGATTCCGATTGTGATTTATTTTCACATAGATGATGCATCGACATTTATTTCGAGCATTTGATTTTTGATTCTTTTCTTTGATTGGTGAAGCTTCGCGAAGATCATCGGGTTTCTTTGTTTTGATAGGCTTTGCTACGGATTGATATCTGTTTGGTATTTTCCCTTGTTTATCTCATTTCAGTAATTTACTACTTTTTAGATATCATGAGAAGTAGGAAATAAAGAGCGTGCACTCGAAGTCGCTGTTTAAAGACCTGTAGCAGGCATTCCATACTTCATTTGCTATATGTGTTGTGTTTGTGTTTGCTTACTTTCTTGTTGATTGATGAGTCACTCAATTTAGAGATTGAGATCACGACTTCGCTCTCAGTGCATGCTCCCTATAGGATTTCATCGCATTCCTTTATTTCTTATTGATCGATGAGTCACTCAATTTAGAAATTGAGATCACGACTTCGCTCTCATTACATGTTCCCTATAGGATATTTTTGTTAGACTTTGTTTGGTATGCTAGCCTAGATAGGATCTCTCTAGATGTGATCTCTTGAACTTATTGGTTTGTTTGTTTAATTTCATCTTTGTGTGCATGTTTTGAGATGGAGTACCCTCGGCATGTTCCCTTAGGAGCTCTCGATTCAACTATAGATGAGGATTCGAGATAGACATAGTTTTAGGTGATAGACACTTCCTATGATCCTTTAGGACTTCTTGATTCACTATAGATGATGAGTAAAGATAGAAATTAGGATTGTTATCCATGCATGTCTACTTAGGGTAGAGATTTCCCTTCAAAGCTCAACCTTAGGATTAATCATTGGATGATAACATTAGGGATAGATCTAGGTTTGTCTCCCTTAGATGTTTCTTTTTCTTTTTCATCCTTGCATTTAAAACAAAAACGTTCTCTTTCTTTGAAAAATATTAAAACATCTAACAATTTTCAAATCCTTTTTTAAGGTGAAAAATATCAACCAATGCAAACTCTTTTGCGCCTTCGGGCTTTTCTTTCAAACCTTTTTCAAAAGAACATGTTACTTCACTTTTGTGATGATGCATAAATCTCCAAAGGTCGAGTTGCGGCAGAAAGTGAAATTAATATTGTTCATTAAAAAAATACAAACCAACTAAAACTTGTTAGCCGAACTACGGCTGCTCTGATTCCTTAAAAGGGATACGTAGGCATCGGGGTAGGGCCCGAAGAAGCACAAATTTTATTTTCCCTACATTCTTTACTCTTTTCTTTTACATGAATTCCCTTTACAACTTAGATTTAGATTTTAACACACCCATTAGATAGACAACAATAGTGGATACCATAGAGTACTATGAGCGTGTGGGGTGCTAATACCTTCCCCTCGTGTAACAGACTCCCTTACCTGATCTCTCAGTCATTTGATCGTAATTTCACCCTTATCAGGTTTACTCAATGTTTACCTTTCCCCTCTTATGGGATAAAAAACATCTGATGGTGACTTTATTGATTTCATTATCATTTGATTGTTCAACCGGTTGTTTCAGGTGATGTCTTGAGACTCTAGAAAATCCTGAACCTTATGCTTGAAGGCCCAACATTGGTCTATGGTATTCCCTCGAGAATTAGCATGGTACTCACACCTAGCTTCGGCATTGTATCTTTGCGGGAGTCGCCCGACTGGGGGAGCTAAAGGCTTGATTTCCACCAGGGATGCCTTAACCAAGTGTTATAATAACTGGCTTGGTGGCATGGGGAGTGGATCAAAATTTCTAGGTGGCCTTTTAAATTTGTTCTGCCTTTGTCCTTGCGGGATCACCAATGGTTGTGATGTCCTTTGTTGTGAGGCCACCATGTTGATTTCTCCCTCCTTCATTCTTGGGAATTTTGAAGCCGGTCTTTTTGAATTGTAAGGGGTGCTTGACGACCCCCCTAATATCTTTCTGCTTCTCAAACCAATTTCGATTCCTTCACCAATAGTCACTAAGTCTGAAATCCTGATGTGACACTTCCCCCCATTTTATCATAATAAAACCCTTGTAGGGTTCCCATGAACATGTCTACGAGTTCCTTTTCCAACAGTTGGGGTTGTACACGGGATGCCATCTCCCTCCACCTTTTAGAATATTCTTTGAAGGACTTTTCCTTCTTTTGGGACAGATTTTGGAGTTGCAAGTGAGTAGGCGCCATGTCCAAGTTATACTTGTAATGCTTCAAGAAATCATTAGCGAGATCCACCCAAGTTCGAATATGCGTTCGTTCCAACTGCATGTACCAGTCCAAAGATGCCCCACTTAGACTGTTTTGGAAACAATGAATCATTAGTTTCTGATCATGGGCGTGGGCATGCATCTTCCTGCAGTACATACAAAGATGATTCTTTGGACAAGTGAGCCCTTTATACTTTCCAAAGTCGGGTACTTTGAATTTTGGTGGTATCACCACATCAGGGACTAAACCCATTTCCAGAGTGTCTACTTCGAAAGCGTTGAAGCCCTCCACAGCCTTCAGTCTTTCTTCCAAGGCTTTATATTATTTCATTACCAGTGGGATGTATGCAGCATGAGCTCCAGTTGTCTTCAAGGGTTCCTGGTGAGCATCCTCTGGGTCATGATCTCCGTATTGCAAGTCTAGGTAATTATCTGCGTTATCGGTTAGAATTTGTAGGGTATCTGATGCCCCTACTTTTGACGGTGGTGGGATAAATCCTTCAGTTTCAACCTCTTGTTGGGCCATTGTGGACTTTAGGGGTCATGCTTCCGGCTCTTTCCTCAGTTGTTGATCGCTCGATGCACCAACGGTTTGGGCTACCTCTTCAAAAGCTACCCTGGGAATTTGATCCTTCCTGTCGATAATGTTATTCAAAGCTAGAAAAACCTGACTCAAATCTTCTTTCATTGAGCTTATGTCACCCTTCACCTGATCAAGATCCTCTTTGAACATAGATTAAGTCTCCTCGATCTGTTCCATTTCTTTCTGTTGATGGGCCCTTGTTTGATACGGGGGCCAAGGAGGTGGGGGTCTTCTTTTACCAATGGCTTAACTAGAGAGATTTTTAAAGAAAATGAGTTTTTGATATGACATGCAAGTGTTTTATAAATGCATGTGTGCAAATGGATGTGCATGATTATGAAATGATTTCTTATTTTAACTGTCTTATTCACTTGGGTACATACTTGTATTCTCACTTATTATTTTATTTGGTAACTAGCTTTAAAATAGATACGCCCTCGAGATAGGGAAACAAAATTCCTTCATTAAGAGTAACATAATCCAGATATTGAAAAATATTACAAATTGAAATCAAAACTTGTTTGCGTAAACGTAATTAAAAAGGAACTAAATTTGCTAAGGGCGCCTGCGGATGTGTGCTCTGAAGCCATCAACCATTGCTCAGCAAAGCTCTAGAAAGTCTTCAACATCCTTCGGAAGAGGAACCATTACATTCTATGCATATTTTAACCTTCTAGGGATGTCCTCGATGATATTGTTGGCTAAGAAAACTAGCTTTTCATGTTTGTCTTTGTAGTACCTGTATTCCTGATAAAGATGTGGGATTATCTTGTGATTATCCCTCCCGGCTTGGGCGATCTTGGTATACTTCTCTTCCCAATACATCTTTTCACCCCTCATTTCTGTGTAAATCCTTTGTTGGATGAGAAAATCCTTTTGAAGACCCTGCAACTCTAAACATACATGCTCATATTCTCGAGTCCTCTGAGTCAAGAGTTTCTCTGCTTCTATCCTTTCAAGGCGTGCTTTGACCTCTGATTTGTGGCTGTCTTGGAGTTTGGTGGTGAGGTACTTCACTTTCTCTTCTTGATCTAAGGAAGCTTATGCCAAACTTTGGATTTGGGCTCTCAAACTTTCCTCTAGCACCTTCTTGTCATGTGTTTCCTTTTCATACCATCTAGTTAACCTCCTGATTTCAGCAGTGGCCTCTTCTAATGGTTGTGAGAATATAGGTTGAATGTTGCACTTAACAATCCTTCAGTTGTACGCTTTCGTTTGAGGCTTTCTATCTCCAAGTCCTTTTGGATTTTATCAATTTTCTCGTCCTTTGGCTCAAGTATAAGTTGCATCTATTTCTATTCTCTAGTTAGATTGAGGAGACTGACTTCCAACGCTTCTTTCTCTTTTTAAGCTTGCTTTAAGGAATTTTTCTGATTGTCGACTTCTTCCAAAGATATAGGTGTTATCTCTGGGACCTCTGACTTGTACTTTGGATCATTCTCGAATGGCAACTTGATAATTCATACCCTATCTTGGAC